TAAATTCTCTTATTATATTATTATATATTTTTATTATATCTGTTCACTTGCTGTTTTAAAGTGTGAAGTCTTCCGGTTCTTTTTACCATGCTAACTCTGAGAGACGAGGCAGTCCAAGTAGCTTCAATGCAGTGCTGATTTATTCAATGAACACAGGTAAAAATTAACATTACATGCTCAGGTATCTTCCACCTCCAACTTGCACGCAGGCAGCTGACGGATGAAAAAGACCCTGAACCACAACTGGCCTATACATTTATCTCTTCGGTTGGGCTAGCCCCGTTCTATGCAGGAACGTCAACCGTGACGTGTTCCTGGTGCCAGCTTTGCAGCTGACCATAGCAGTAGTCAAAACATGAAGAAAATCAATGTGTGTGTGTGTGTCTGTTGATTAAGTGGTGTGTATCTAAAAACATTCTGACATGACATCTAGTGACATGTCATGACATTAAACATAAGAAAATATTATGATTACAATTACAGCTATACACATAATAATAATAATAATAATAATAATAATAATAATAATAATCTTGTCTTCTAACAGTCAAACTTTCTATCTAGTTATCCTTGACCATATGCACCCTGCAAAAAAACTCATGAGAATGACTAAGCATTTAACAGCCTACCTTGACATCCTGTCTCCATTAAACATTTCTAATACATACAAATACCTAACCAATATTTATCTGACTAAAAATACCTAACAAGTGCCTTAGATTTTGTGTTACTTATTCATCTACTTTATATTTCATTTGTATTTTGTGGCATTCATGTGGACAGCAAAGTAAGAATTTCATTGTACAGGGAAACACATTTCCTAGCTGTGCATATAATGAATAAACACTTTGACCTTTGATGAGCCCCACTAAGGTTGTGCCGTCTGTGAATTTAACTATGGTGTTGGTGTTATGAGTTGGAACACAGTCATAAGTGTAGACAAAGTAGACAAAGGGGCTCAGCACACAGCCATGTGGGGCTCCTGTGCTGAGTGACAGAATGGATGAATGATGCAGGCCCATCCCAACTGACTGTGGCCAGTTTGTTCAGAAATCCATTATTATACTCCCAGGTCGGACATCTTGGAGAACATTCTGCTCGGTAAGATGGTGTTCAACACAGAGCTGTAGTCCACAAACAGCAGCTCTGCATATGCCCTGTGTTATTCCAGGTGGCGCAGTACAGTGTGGAGGGCTGTGCAAATGGCATCGTCCATCAATCTGTTGGTTCTATATGCACACTGGTGGGCGGTGGCAGAGCAGCTTTGATGTGTTGCAGAACCAGTTTCTCCAGCCACAGGATTTACAATGGTCAACATAAAAAAGACAGGGAATGACTGTCCACATCATTTTTATCAGGCTTATTCCAATGCTGTTTTATCTTCATGCTCCTCCTGGATGATTTCCAAGATGGCACAGTGGGAGGTGAAATAATGCTGTACAGCTGGCTCTGTGGCTAGCATCAGAGGACTTAATCAGGTCATAAAGAAGGCCTCACTTACGGATGCTGTGTTGCTCCTGTTCCATGCATTTCATCAGCCCCAGGGAAAGGTGAAATATGCTTCCTCTGAAGGTAATGTGGCCTATCTTTATCCAAGTGGTGACAAATTTATTGCCCCCAGACACAATTTACAATCCATCCAAGCTGTGATTATCTAGCCCATGTTATTTAAATTGCAGAGGGACATCCATGTAGATACAGGTGCTCTGAGTTTCCAACAAAGGACAGAGCAAAATCAAAAATATATTTGTTTCATCTGTGAAATGTTATGGTCCCCTTAGCTAGTTTACTATGACATGATAAGAATAAACCAAAAATATCATGCCTTTATAAGGATAAATTGAAAGAAGTATTGCAGTTTGAATCACAAATGCAAGTATATTCCTATCAGAAGGAATGTAATCATGCTGAAAACTCATGGTTCGATATTGCCACAATTAAAAGTCCATGATACAATATTTACCATGGCATAAAAAAAGAAGAATGCCCTTTGTTAAATAATAAATTCTGTTTGAACCTGTATCTCTGTGCCTCCTGCTTTTTTCTTTCTCCATTAAAATAAAAGTAGTAACCTATGATTTAAGCATGTAAAACATTGAAATGAATTGTTTTCAGGCACAGAATCATTGTACTGTTTGTACAATTGTAAAACAAAAGATAATGCAGCAATCAATAGCAGTTCTTTTGTAAAATAAGACATAATAATATATTATTGCAGCAGCTGGATCTTGTAAACAAAAGAAATCACACTCACAGTGGAACATCAGTGTTTTAGTACCACCTAGGCAAGCTTAACTTCCTCTGTTTGGTGGCTGTGCAGACCAGTGGTCAGGTTCTGTGCCACTGGACAACTTGAAGATCCCTCCAACCACCAGCTTGAGCAAACTGCTGCTTGGCACAGCAGAACAAGTAGAAGAATACACCAAAATATACTAAGACAAGGTGGACAAACCTTCTGTGATGTCACCCATTGGTTTTCTGAAGAGTGGTTTTGAAGCTCGTCTAGCCATTGCCATCTTGGTAGTGTTCATGACTCATAAAATTACAAATGTTATTACATCCCTAATATATAATGCTGCCAGGCAATTTTATGGCCTAGCAGTGAGCTGACCTCACATTACCTGAACAGCTGTCTCCGAAAATCAGAGCAAATGCAAATATACAGTTGCAGCTGAGGCCTGGCAGAGAACAGGCAAAAATCAGAATCAGCTTTACTGGCCAAGTGTGTTGGACAAACGAGGAATCTGACTCTGGAACAGCAGCTCTCAGTGTGTGCGTGCAGTGTTTTTCTGTAAGGCAACGAGTAGCGGGCCTTCTGCCTTGACCAGTTGGGGTGAGTGGATAGAGAAGAGAGAAAAGAAAAGCAACTAGAAAAATGCATTTCCTGTCGAAAATGCTATGTGGATGCTATGTGCTGAAGGATCGCCCTGAAAATGTTGAACATTTTGACACCTGAAAGGCATATCTACCTGAAAGTATGCTGAAGTAAAGTGTGATGTTTTGAAAAATTGTTAATAGAAGCACGAATGTCCTTGAAGAGCTGAACATTTTGATACCCGAAATAAGTGAAGGTATGCTGAAGTAGAATTTTTCCATTCATTTGAACCAGGGAAAACTTTCAAAATAAAGCTAAATATTTCAGAGGTATGAAGTTTAGAAAAATTCTGAACAGAAGCATGAATGTCCTTGAGCAGCTGATAATTTTGATACTTGAAATAGCTGAATGTTGAATATTCCCATTCATTTGAATGGGGCAAAATTTTCAAAATAAAAATAAATATTTCAGAGGTATGAGATTTAGAAAAATTCTGAAGAGAAGCATGAATATGCTTGGAGAGATGAACATTTTCATACCCGAATTAGCTGAAATTATGCTGAGTGTAGAATTTTCCCATTCATTTGAATGGGGCAAAGTTTTCAAAATAAAGCTAAATATTTCTAAAGTATGAAGTTTAGAAAACTTCTAAATAGAAGCATGCATGTCCTTGAAGAACTGAACATTTTGCTACCTGAAATATCTGAAAGTATGCCAAGTGTAGAATTTTCCCTTTCATTTGAATGGTGCAAAAGTTTCAAAATAAAGCTAAATATTTCTAAAGTATGAAGTTTAGAAAACTTTTGAATAGAAGCATGAATGTCCTTGAGGAGCTGAACATTTTGATACCTGAAATAGCTGAAAGTATGCTGAGTGTAGAATTTCCCCATTCATTGGAATGGGGCAAAATATCAAAATAAAGCTAAATATTTCAAAAGCATGACATTTAGAAAATCTATGAATAGAAGCACGAATGTCCTTGAAGAGCTGAACATTTTGCTACCTGAAATATCTGAAAGTATGCCAAGTGTAGAATTTTCCCATTCATTTGAATGGTGCAAAAGTTTCAAAATAAAGCTAAATAATTCTAAAGTATGAAGTTAGCTGAACATTTTGATAGCTGAAATAGCTGAAAGTTTGCTGAAGTAGAATTTCCCATTCATTTGAATGGGGCATGATTTTCCAAAATAAAGCTAAATATTTAAAATGTATTAAGTTTTGAAAAGTTCTGAATAGCAGTATGAATGTCTATGAAGAGCTGAACATTTTGATAGCTGAAATAGCTGAAATTATGCTGAAGTAGAATTTTCCCATTCATTTGAATGGGGCATGATTTTCAAAATAAAGCTAAATATTTAAAAGGTATGAAGTTTAGAAAACTTGTGAATAGTAGTATGAATGTCCTTGAAGATCTGAACCTTTTGATAGCTGAAATAGCTGAAATTATGCTGAAGTAGAATTTCCCATTCATTTGATTGGGGCAAGATTGTCAAAATAAAGCTGAATATTTAAAATGTGTGAAGTTTTGAAAAGTTCTGAATAGTAGTATGAATGTCCTTGAAGAGCTGAACATTTTGATACCTGAAATAGCTGAAAGTTTGCTGAAGTAGAATTTTCCCATTCATTTGAATGGGGCATGATTTTCAAAATAAAGCTGAATATTTAAAATGTATGAAGTTTTGAAAAGTTCTGAATAGTAGTATGAATGTCCCGACCCCTACTTTGGGAACCATTGATCTACATGAGCAGGGACCCAACAAAACTGTATCTCTAACCCATCCTTTTAATTTTTTTTTTTATTGAATAAAGTTATGTACATGTTGGGCTATAGCAACATTCCATGTTGGAACAGGGATTAGGTGCATATACAAAACATAAAAATAAATTAAACAAAATACGAAATTACAGTATAAAGAGCAAGGCCTTCTATTTGAAATTATATTCTTCAATAATGTCATAAAGTTTAACAGCAGTTTTGGTTTTCATAAACTTGGATGCTTTCAAAGAAGCAAGAACCTCGTGAAATAAACAGAAACGAGGTACTACTTCCGTATTGATTTGTGTGAAGGTAGAAGTTTGTCCGCATGTTTGTCCTTGGATTGTGGGAATTGTAGTCTTTTAATGTAAGTTTTACGTATTATTTGCCACGAGAAAACTACAAGTTCCAGATGTCTCAATACGGAGAGCGTAACAAAATACTGCAGAGTTGATGCGCCATCCGAGAAGATGTCTGAAGTTGTAAAGAAAAGAAAACTAGATAAAACCCGTAATGACAGACTTTACTTTGACAGCTACTCCGACGTGACTATTCACGAGGAGATGATAGCTGACCACGTTCGGACTAACACGTATCGCACGGCGATAACCAAGAACAGCCAGTATATTCGGGGTAAAGTCGTATTGGACGTCGGTGCAGGAACCGGCGTTTTAAGCATGTTCTGTGTCCAAGCCGGTGCTAAGAAAGTGTATGCGGTGGAAGCCTGCTCTATCGCGGAGCAGGCTGAGAAAATAGTCAAACACAACAACATGGAGGACAGAATAGAAGTGGTCAGAGGCACACTGGAGACGGTGGACCTACCGGAGATGGTGGATGTGATCGTCAGCGAGTGGATGGGGTATGCTCTCCTTCACGAGTCCATGCTCAACTCGGTACTGTACGCGCGCGACAAGTGGCTAAAAGCGGGCGGCCTGATTCTGCCCAGCAAGGCCGAGCTTTACATCGCACCTATCTCTGACCCGGTAGTACAGGACCGCCTGTATTTCTGGTACACCGTCAAAGACCGGTACGGAGTCGACATGACCTGTATGTCCGACTTCGCCCGCAGATGTATCATGAACTCCGACATCATTGTGAACTCGGTGACCACTGAGGACGTGCTTTCCCACCCGGCCCACTTCGCCGAGCTCGACCTGTACTCCATTAAAGTGGAGGAGCTGCGGTCGGTGAAGGGACAGTTCCGGTGCGAGTCGTTTGGCTCTGCTGCGGTCAACGCTTTCTGCATCTACTTCACGGTGACGTTCTCCTGCGCGGACACCCAGCAGGCGCTTGTGCTCTCCACGTCCCCGTTCAAACCGGAGACGCACTGGAAGCAGGCGGTGCTTTACCTGGACACTCCAGTGGATGTGGTGCAGGACACGGTATTTGCCGGAACGGTCAGCATGTTTCCCTCAGAGAAAAGCACCAGACATATCTGTGTTCATGTGGACTACACGATAGGAGAGCAGGAGAGACAGTCCAAGACTTTTTCCATTCCGGACTGGAGCTCGGAGGCTCAGCCATAATGTGGCATCAGATGAAGCGGTGGTGAAAGGAGTCCTCAGATCAGTAGTAATACTCTGTTACAAGTAAAGGTTCAGCATCCAATGTTGTTTTTGACATGATGTTATTACATATAATGTTTTACTCTTATGACTTGTTTGTTATCTATATATGTTACTAGGTAGTCTGAAGCAGTGGTGGTAGAGGTACTCAGATCCTTTACTTAAGTAAAAGTAGCAATACAACAGTGTACAACTACTCTGTTACAAAGTAAAAGTCCTGTATTCACATTGTTACTTAAGTAAAAGTTCAAAAGTATTAGCATCAAAACATCCTTAAAGTACTAAAAGTAAAAGTATTCATTGCACAGAATGGCACATTTCATATTATTATAATTACTGAGGCATTATTTTGTACATCACATTTAATGTTGCAGCTTGTTGTATTAAATAAATGTAGTGGAGTAAAAAGTACAATATTTGCCTCTAAAATCTAGTGAGTCAATATGCAGTAATAGAAAATGAAAATACTCAAAGTACAGATATATCAAAATTGTACTTAAGCACAGTACTTGAGTAAATGCACTTTGGTGCTGACCAGACAACACACAGACACATTGTGTTTATAACCTGTCAGACCTGCTCATGGTGGAGTTACAGGGACTGTAGTTTTGACTAGTTTGGTAAATTGCTTATGTAAAATTTCAAAGCTATAAGGTCACATTGTCTCTCATATTACATATTGCTGCCACCCTAACAAAAATGTGCAGAGTTACTTGTTACAAGAACTTTTTTCATTTTTATGAGATGCTTTTGCATTATAATTAGACATGTTGATGTTATTATGACCTGCAGCATTTTTCTTATTATGGACATCAGTACAGGGCTCCACATGCGAGCATCTCGCATATGTGAGTAAAAGTGTGTGAATGTGAAGAATTATTTGATTGCAGTGCTATGAGTGAGAACTTAGGTTCTCTGTTTGTAAGGACTGGGAACATTTTATAAGTACTCAAAGAGAGCCACAAGAGTGAATGGTCTTATACTTGTATAGTGCTTTTCTTTGCTTTACAGCACACTCAAAACGCTTTCACACTACTTGGCCATTCACCCATTCGCACACACATTCACACACTGGCGTCTTGCTCAAGGACACTTTGACATGTTGACTGGACAAGTCAGGAATCAAACCTAATCCTTCGGTTAGGAAATGACCCGCTCTACCTCCTGAGCCACAGCTGCCCCCATGAATGAGAATAGTTGAATGGAAAATATGATTTTGGTGGATTGGCTTCTTGTCTTTGTCATTTATATTAAACACTGAATGTCATTGTTGATGTTCCAAAAACAAAGCTCTTGTCAGAAAGAAAGTGAATGTGTGTAAAAGCTGCCTGGCTGCACCGCTGTCCCTTGACAAGTCTGGCCACCAAAATCTTCCCCTTCTTGTGCACCAATTTAAATAAGAATACAAGAAATTAAATAAAGGTCTGTGGAAATAAAAAGCTTTTAAAAATCATAGATATCTAACTAACCCAAAAATGTAATCTAAAAAAAGGGAAACATTTGTCCAGGCACGAGTATCTTATTGTGATGACAGGTGTTGTACAGGTGTCCCTAATAAAGTGGCCAGGCAGTGTATTATTAGTGCATTAGCTTGTTTACCTCCCTCCTTCTCTTTTATTCATGTATACTGTATGTATACACCCACATACTGTGTATATATACATTACTAGATTGCATAGAGTCGAACACAGCCACACAATACACCTGAGTTCTATCTTATATTACTTACATTATTTACACCCACTAGGGTATGACAGAGTACCGTAGACATTCTGCACAAGGACATCTGTCTGTGGATTAAAGACATTCCCTGTGTCCCTGACCTGTATGAACTTTGCTTGCTGGTGATGGAGGAAAACAACGTAACCCAGTGTGATAATGCTCTGAGGCAATAAGAATTATCAAAGGTCTATGGGTTTTGTAAAGAGCACTGATCACTGATAAAGCATGTAGAATCATAACAGAGCTGCCATGTAAATTAAAGGTGCTGTCCATGGTTCTAATAATGATAACGACTCAAGCAATGAGGCCTTTCAAAGATTTAAAAATATCTCTGACCTTTGCGACAGTTGAAGCTATGTTCAACAATAAGACTGGTCATTTTCTATATTAACAGTATTTCAGACACTCCCCATAGAGAAACTAAAACCAACATTGATTTGCCTCTATTCACAATTAATGTCTGTCAGTCTGTCAGAACTATTTTAGTTTATCCATCTGTGCCACTGACCTCCATTATCGTTCAAAAACAATTGAAATGCACAGCTGTACTGGGTGATGTTAACCCATTACAAAACACCAGACCCTGATATTCTTTTTTTTTATCTGCCCCCAGTGCTCCAAACAGCCAAAGCTTTTTACACCATCTGAAGTAAGCAAAGTCCACTGTTATCTCTGGGTTGTTTCCGACTACACCATAGGACCAACTGTTTAACCTCCCGTCTGTAGGCTGACTCATCACTATCTCGGATGAGACCAATGATCATTGTGTCATCTGTGACCTTCAGGAGTTTAACAGAGGGGTCCTCTGAGGTGCAGTCATTTGTGTAGAGGGGAAACAGCAGTGGGGAGAGCACACATCCCTGGGGGCACCTGTGCTTATTGTCCAGGTGCTGGATGTGGTTTTCCCCAGCCTCACCTGCTGCTCCCTGTCTGTCAGAAAGCTTGTAATCCACTGACAGGTGGGGACAGGTGCAGTGAGCCAGTGTCAGTTTGGAGTGGATGATGCCTGGGATAATGGTGAACCTTCAGTTCAACACCATCAAAATAACAAACTAAAATCAAAGCAAAACATAAATTCAAAATGAGAACAAACCTGACCAACAATAATGTGATGGGATGATTCAGGAAACAGTATCCTCAGGGAACAAACAGGAAAAAAACACAGTCCATACACAATAAGAAAAATAACCCACAGGGGTGGCATAGTACTAGTACTGAATATGCTGTGCATATTTGTCTTGTTTTTGTCTGTTGTGTCTATGCCTTAAGAAAGTAAACAACTGGATGCAATAAAACTTCATTCAGCTAAATAAAGATAGTGTAAGACTGAATTAATTATCTTTGGGAATAAGGAAGGAAGGCTGGCACTCAGCGCTTACCTTAATCTAGGGCACTAAATACTAACACCTGTGTGAAGAATCTTGGTGTAATCATCCACAAGGAATTTCTGGCCACATCACAGCTGTCACCAAATTGTCATTCTGGCATCCTAAAACATAGCTAAAATGAGAAACTTTCTGTCTAAGCACAATTTAGAACAGCTCATTTATTCTTTTATTATTAGTAGGGTAGACTGCTGTAATACACTCCTGATTGGCCTCCCCAGTAAGACCATTAGACAATTGCAACTCATTGTATGGATGACAAGGTATGGATGCTGACTCAGCATCCATACCTTGTTTTCCTGGTCTTTATTATTGTACGGATGCTGATTCAGCATCCATACAATGTTATCCAATTATTTATTGGATAACATAGTATGGATGCTGAATCAGCATCCGTACAATAATAAAGACCATTCAAATGAATGGGGAAATTCAACTTCAGCACACTTTCAGCTATTTCAGCTATTGAAATGTTCAGCTCCTCAAGGACATTCATACTTCTCTTCAGAACTTTTGTAAACTTCATACTTTTGAACTATTTAGCTTTATTTTGAAAATCTTGCCCCATTTAAATGAATGGGGAAATTTTTGCTTCTGCATACTTTCAGCTATTTCAACTATTAAAATGTTCAGCTCTTCAAGGACATTCATGCTTCTATTCAGAACTTTTGTAAACTTCATACTTTTGAAATATTTAGCTTTATTTTGAAAATCTTGCCCCATTCAAATAAATGGGGACATTTTTGCTTCTGCATACTTTCAGCTATTAAAATGTTCAGCTCTTCAAGGACATCCATGCTTCTCTTCAGAACTTTTGTAAACTTCATACTTTTGAAATATATAGCTTTATTTTGAAAATCTTGTCCCATTCAAATGAATGGGAAAATTCTACTTCTGCATACGTTCAGCTATTTCACCTATTAAAATGTTCAGCTCTTCAAGGACATTCAGGCTTGTCTTCAGAACTTTTGTAAACTTCATACTTTTGAAATATTTAGCTTATTTTGAAAATCTTGCCCCATTCAAATGAATGGGGAAATGTTTGCTTCTGCATACTTTCAGCTATTTCAGCTATTAAAATGTCCAACTCTTCAAGGACATTCATGCTTCTCTTCAAAATTTTTGTAAACTTCATACTTTTGAAATATTCAGCTTTATTTTGAAAATCTTACCCCATTCAAATGAATGGGAAATGTTTGCTTCTGCATACATTCAGCTATTTCACCTATTAAAATGTTCAGCTCTTCAAGGACATTCATGCTTGTCTTCAGAACATTTGTAAACTTCATACTTTTGAAATATTTAGCTTTATTTTGAAAATCTTGCCCCATTCAAATGATAGGGGAAATTCTACTTCAGCATAATTTTTGCTATCAAAATGTTCAGCTCTTCAAAGACATTCATGCTTCTATTCAGAAGTTTTGTAAACCTAATAACTTTGAAATATTTAGCTTTATTTTGAAAATCTTGCCCCATTGAAATGAATGGGAAAATTCAACTTCAGCATACTTTGAGCTATCAAAATTTTCAGCTCTTCAAGGACCTTCATGCTTCTATTCAGAAGTTTTCTAAACTTCGTACTTTTAAAATATTTAGCTTTATTTTGAAAATCTTGCTCCATCAAATGAATGGAAAAATTCTACTTCCATGACAGCTACTTTGTTACATCTAGCTTTCAACTGTTTCTAATGTAGTTAGTGTTAGTTTTTTTCACTACACTAAAACTGGTTGTTATCAACAAAAGACAATAGAGAGAGACCAGCGGAGGAGCGGGTAGGTAAACTGGGAGACAACCCGGCAGAGAAGCCGGTGGAGAAGCCAACAGACATGATAGCGGAGGAAAGAGAAGCACAGCCACTAGAAATGCCATCTATCTCCGGTAAAGCCCGCCAAATCCATAAACACCATGTCTGCCAACAATTGCAGCGCCCCCCCCCAAAACCCAGAAAATATAGAGAAGAGTTTATCAAATATGGGTTCACATGCATCGTCATAAACGAGGTACATCCCCAGTGTGTAGTATGCTCAGAGGTTCTGGCACATGAAAGCCTTAAGCCTGTAAAAATGCTACGACACCTGAACACCAAGCATCCCAGTCTTGCTGGTAAACCTGTTGATTTTTTCTGCAGAAATGAAAGAGAGTTATGAGGACAAAAGAAATTCTTAACTATACAGATTACAATAACTGCCAAAGCTCAAAGGGCTTCATATGAGGTGGCATATTTAATTGCACAGGCCAAAAAGCAACACACAATCGAGCAAACTTTAATTAAACCTGCGACTGTAGTGATGAGCCGGGTTATGCATGGAGATAAACAGGCCACTGAGCTGGAGTCAGTGCCGCTGTCTGACGGGACTGTTGCCCGTCGCATCACAGACATGGCTCAGGACATCAAGTCTCAGCTGATTGAAAGAGTAAAGAAGGGGAGATATGCTTTACAATTAGATGAATCTACTGATGTATCAAATACTGCCCAGCTCCTTGCTTACGTTAGATATATTTTGAGGGAAAACTTAACGAAGAGATGCTCTTTTGCTCCCAGCTGGAAGGGACTTGCACAGGTGACGATATTTTCAATAAACTTGACACAAATCTAAAAGAACAGGGTCTGTCATGGAACAAATGCATTGCTGTGTGCACAGATGGTGCAGGTGCAATGCTGGGAAAAAAGAAAGGACTAAAAGCAAGAGTCATGCAAGTGGCACCTCACATCAATTTTACGCACTGCATTATCCATCGAGAAGCTCTTGCTACCAAAACACTGGATATAGAGCTTAATTATGTACTTGAAACTGCAGCAAAAATGGTCAGTTACATAAGATCATGCCCACTTAATATGAGACTTTTTGCCACTCTTTGTAACAAACTGGGATCAGAGCACCAGGGCCTACTGCTCCACACAGAGGTCAGGTGGCTTTCGCGAGGGAACATACTGATCCACCTTGTCAGGTCCGCTCGGTGCAACCTGCCTGTCTTCCGCCTTTCTCTCCTCTGCTCTCTTGACCTGTGGGATCTGCACCTCAGCTGTGTTGCATTCGGTAATTAGCGACTCGTTTGTTGGTGTGCACAGCTGGGGTGCATCCCGATGATTACCTTCCTCCTTATTTATACCTCTGGCAGACGCTCCGTCGTCGCCGGAGCATTAACTTGCTTACCATGTAACAGACCTGTGCTCGTGGTATGTGTCGTACGTCATTTTGTTTTCCACGCTGACAGTTCCTGTGCCGTGGATCTCATTTTGTATGTTGGTTACTTGTTTTGTGTTATACGTCTCTAGAGGTCCACACTGACAGTTCCTGTGCTGTGGATCTCTTTGTATGTTTTTTTTGTTCTTCCATGAGGTTAGCCAGACGTTATTTGGGTATCCATGTTGACAGTTCCTGTGCTGTGGATTTCCTTTTCGTTTGCCAGTCCTCCTGGTTGGTTTAACTATTCACCTGTCTGTCCTGATTCTCCTACTCTCCTGGTTCCTACCAATTGTCTGCTTTACTCACCTGTTCGTCTTGGTCTCCTCCACCATCTCTGCCCTACTTTGCTGTTAAATGTACATGGACTATGATACATGTTTTTTTGGTTACATTGTATCTTCCCTATTAAACCACCTTTTGTACTAGCACCTGGGTCGGCACTCTTGAGTCCTACCACAGTTCTCCCTCACCCTCTTGGTGATGGGGACTAAACCATAACACGCCTGTATGAGCTGTGAGATGAGGTGCGCATATTTTTTATCGAACAGGGATCCCAGCTCGCTGAGCACCTCACTGATCCTGACTGGCTCACAAAACTGGCATATTTGTCATGTATTTTCAAAAAACTGAATGGACTTAATACGTCGCTGCAAGGTGAAAACACAAGCATCATGTCACTGAATATAAGATCCGGGCATTCATGAGGAAACTGGAGCGCTGGATACAACGCGTTGAAATGGGACAGTTTGATATGTTTTCTGAGCTGAAGGAATTCATGGAGGACAACACACTGGGCGTAAACACTGTTAGGAGATCTATCACTATTCACCTTCAAGCACTTCTGGAACATTTTACAAAGTACTTCCCTGTGGAAACGGCCACAGAACAATATGATTGGATAAGATCCCCGTTCACTGTAGACAGGGTGAATCACCTACCATCTGACATGGAGGACACACTCATTGAACTATCTTCTGATCAAACTTTAAAGGCTGCTTTTGATTCCAAGACGCTGACTGAGTTTTGTATTTCAGTCGAGAGAGAATACCCGCAGCTTTCCATGGCTGCTATGGATATACTGATGCCATTTGGTTCAATGTATTTATGTGAAAAGACTTTCTCAGTGTTAAACAGTACGATACACTTTCTTTGCTCAACGTTGAACTTTATTCTTTTTCCGCCATATTCACAACCAAACATGCGCACCCCACTTCCCGACCTACCCGTGTTTTCACAATAAAACCCTAAACAGAATACTGTACTCGTAAACATTTACATATAAACATGTACATGAACACTTCTTAATGTTTGGAACTTAACAAATTCACTTTTTCTTTTAAGATGAAAAATAATAATAATAATAATCTCCCCTTTAGATTAACCTGTCATTTCTGCAATAGGACTCATAACATGACATTTGAACAAGAGTCCTGTTTATGACCTTTTTATTTATTTATTTATTTTAGTCCAGCTTCCATTGTCCATCATTCAATGCATTAAGTAACTGATAAGCTGGTTCTTCCTTTTTGGTAAGGCAGTCTGCAAGCTGTTTATTTGTGTTGTGCCACAGTACTCGCTCAATTTTCTGTGCTTGGACAAGTTCTTTAATGCTACTTATCTCCAAACGAAGTCTTTTCTCAGAGACTGACTTTGTAGATTGAAGAGCATCCATAAGTGAATGATTGTCCGTGATGCAGATAATTGGTGGAGCATGTTCAGTATCACCAGTAATTAGCTCTGAGAACAGTGTGGCGGGAAAAACAGCATTGTCCATTCCATCAGACAATGCCAGTGTTTCACCCGCAAATCTGCTCCGCACAATCCTTTTGACTCTCTTAGACTGCCAGGTAAGGGGTGAGAACTTCCAATTTTTCCCCATTAGAAGAATCAGATGTCCTCCTTGAGTGCCACCCTCTGAAAGATTTCCAAATGAGGTGTCGCTGAACACAATCATCTTAAGAGCTATGTCTTTGCCTAAGTGTTGGAAGTTCAGAGTCACCTTTTTGGACTTCAATTTGCAAACTATCCTGTTTGCTTCATGGATAGTCTGCACAGTTGCATTTTTGATATTTGATGCCATGTTGCTAGCATCAAATATAACATCTGGCTGGGTCTCTCCACTTTGATGCAGTAGGTGGTGCTCCTCTGGCAGGCTGTTTTGGAAGATAAACATAATATTTACATTACTAACCAGCACCTACTCTGATTGGCTGGAGGCGATGACTCATCTTCCACACCAGCCAACCAGCTGATTATGTTTATTATTTTGTGTAACCAGTTATCAAATATCAATATCCAAAAGTCACATTTTGTACCAAAACACCTTAAACTCACATCAGTCATTACATCAGTGTCAATCTCAAAAAATGTACCTCTTACTCTTAAAGGATAAGGCCAGTCATTCTCTATATTTATAGTGTTTTTAGTAATCTAAACCCAACAGTAAACTCACAGTATGGGGGGTGTCGAAAATATGACCAGCCTTACCCTTTAATGATTTTGATTTATTACATATTTTGTAAAATGTTCTTCATGTTCTATTTGCTGTCATTCCATTGTGTGCACTCAGAACACCTTGTGTGTTTGTATAGCCTCAGTCTGTACATGGAGAAAAAGGATCTGGATCAGCAGAGAGTCTGATAAAGCCAAACAACAACACCAACAAAACTGCTATTCATTGCAATAAAAGTGCTTCACTCTACTGAATCTGCACTAGGAGCTAACATGCTGGATTCTGACATGTCACCAATTGGCTGTTGCCCCATTTAATTATCATGTATGCTTCATGAATTCTGGGGAACCCAGGGAGTTCTGGGTTTGTTTGTATGCCGATATGAATATAAACACTATTTTGCCAAAATCATGGACCATACCTTTAAATTGCCATCACATTCTAATTCAATACAACAAACAAGATTTTCCTCCCACATATCACTCTTCACTAATCACACCTTCATCATTTCAGAGGGCTATTTCACAAAACCTAGTTATCAGATCTAAATATTGGTAATGCCAAGTTCAAGGAATTGTCTTGTAACTTTGATCATCAGCCTACATGGAAGTGGAGCCATGTATGCCTGCTTTTCATTAAAAAAAAGCTTGTTGCTTTTCATGAATAATTCAGTCTCATTTATGTTAATATTACACAGGCTGTATTTAAAAAGGATGCTGAAATTTAAAAAGGCACATTTTTATCAAAGAAATATCTGTCACCCAAAAATAGCTCTATTAAGCTCTACTTGTAGATTTATCAAGTTCAAAAGTTGGTTAATAAGAAGTTTTAGGTATCTAAGAAGGAATACATTTCACCTATCACCCAGATTCCACCATTTGTAGAATGAACCCTATTTACACATGTGGATTAGTGGTTGTAATTAATTTTCACGGTTTATTTCCTGAGTAACAAATAGTTTCACTCAAGAACAGTGGTTAGTAAATGTATATTTTAGGCGACAGTCGGTGCGCGTCCACCTGCCACGCTTGTTGTTACAGCAGCCTTGTTTCCATTTGTACAGACTGTGTGTTTCAGTTCCCCATAAGCCTCCACCAGTGACCATGCTCTCAGTAGGTCTGAAGTATCCACATGTCTTCAATGGGTGTGCTCGGAAAGCTTACCAGCACGGTGCCGGTTGGGGATGGAGTCCATTCATTTTAAGGAAACTAACACACAGTGTAGCAGCACGGCCAAATGAAACGCAGCTTCTATGTCAGCATCAGCGAATCTGTGATCGACCTCGTGAAGAAAGCCATGAACATGCATTCATCCAAATTACTGGCTTCACCTAGTCGCATCTCCTCACTCCTCAGCCTGGCTTTGCCTTCGTGAAACACATTAAGGGGGTGAATATGAAATGGAAAGGGTGTTATTACACACCAGCATTCACAGATATGGGCTCTTTTTCTGGTAGTGAGATATCAAAGTAGCCTGGTATTGATCCCTGTGAGCCATCGATATGAAGCCATTGCGCCTTAGCAGCCTGCTTTCCTCTGGAATGAGTGATAATGACATCATGTTGTGGGCTGAAGCGGCTGCTGCTGTTTGTACATGCATGTATATATAGCTAGTCTTTATACTTTAAAGTCTGAAATGTAAGGATTTTCTGTTTTTTCTTCTAATGACCTTAATCATTTGTATTTAATTTGGAGTTTTAGACTAATGATTGGACAAAGTATTGTGAAGGTGTCACTTTTCTCTCTTTAATTGTAATGCACACATACTTAACATTTCATATAATTTTCTGAGTTTTTACAAGACAATCATTGTATTAATCCAGAAAATAAAAAATAATGAATTGCAGTCCTATATAAAATTGTTTAAAATGTTCCCCACCTCAAACAGCTACAAGAACAAATGCTGCTCACACAGTGATGCATGAGTAATATTCATCTAATGGCATGGGAATGGGTCATTAAAAGTCTTAAATACAATTTTACATGTGATTGGCTTAAATTCATAACATACATCCTCCACTTTTATATACAGTCTATGGTTTGGACAGAGTTTTGTCAGTTTTGATACCTGGGTTACTATCCATTGATATTAAATGTTCAGAGACTCTTGTAATAAAATTTCAGACAGTGATGGTATTTTTGCATTTTCACAAACTAATTTGGACAAGTTTTGCCATTTTACCTTACTGTTTTACTGTAGCCAGCTATCCTTTGTTTTCTACTGTTTTTAACTGACATCAATGTGTTTACTTGGATAGAATGTATTTTCACTTTTGGTGGGTATCCCTATCACAAGTTTAATATTAAAGTTCATTGAACGTGGTATTAAAAAGGCCTTAAATTGCCTTGTTTATACCTGTAGCACCTAGAATTATAAAAATTCATAGACTAATAGTCAAGTAATACTTTTACAATTAATACTTTGAGAAAATGTTTCTAAGTGTTCAATTTTTTCAATTCAATTCAGTTTTACTTGTATAGTGCCAATTCACAGCAACACTCATCTCAGGGCACTTTACATAGTAAGGTCTAGAAGTTAGTGTTATAGTGAAAAACCCAACAAATTCCCCTTGAGCAAGTACCTGGCAACAGTTGAGATCCTGGGCTACCTGCGAGCAAGAGCACTCAGAGAGTGCATGTAGCTCCACCAAGGCACAGCATTCACTCACACAAATGGGTCCCTTGTGAAAAATGAGATCCAGAACAACACAAAATGTGTCCTACAATCGTTGATCCTGATTGGATCAGATTATCTTTTAGGACATGACAGGCAGTTATACCCTGCATCTTACCCGAACATTTCACTATTCTGTCTTCATTATTGGCCAAGTTATGGCAGAAAATATTTGTTAAATGGGGGTTTCAGTGTGAACTTTAGATGGTTGGCAGATCCAGAAGTGTGTCAAAGTTTTCAAACAAAAAACCTTTTTCAGCTAAAATCTAATGACTTTTAGGGTCCCCACCAGTGTGCGTTGTATGCTGGTGATCCAACACACACACACGGGACAAAATGCACAACCTTGGTGGGGGTAAAAACAGCGAGAGAGGACAAACTATATACAGGTGCTGGTCATATAATTAGAATATCATCAAAAATTTGATTTATTTCATTAATTCCATTCAAAAAGTGAAACTTGTATATTATATCCATTCATTACACACAGACTGATATATTTCAAATGTTTATTTCTTTTAATTTTGATGATTATAACTGACAACCAATGAAAACCCCAAATTCGGTATCTCAGAAAATTAGAATATTGTGAAAAGGTTCAATATTGAAGACACCTGGTGCCACACTCTAATCAGCTATTTGACTCAAAACACCTGCAAAGGCCTTTAAATGGTGTCTCAGTCTAGTTCTGTAGGCTACACAATCATGGGGAAGACTGCTGACCTGACAGTTGTCCAAAAGACCACCATTGACACCTTGCACAAGGAGGGCAAGACACAAAAGGTCATTGCAGAAGAGGCTGGCTGTTCACAGAGCTCTGTGTCCAAGCACATTAATAGAGAGGCGAAGGGAAGGAAAAGATGTGGTAGAAAAAAGTGTACAAGCAAAAGGGATAACCGCACCCTGGAGAGGATTGTGAAACAAAACCGATTCAAAAATGTGGGGGAGATTCACAAAGAGTGGACTGCAGCTGGAGTCAGTGCTTCCAGAACCACTACGCACAGACGTATGAAAGACATGGGTTTCAGCTGTCGCATTCCTTGTGTCAAGCCACTCTTGAACAACAGACAGCGTCAGAAGCGTCTCACCTGGGCTAAAGACAAAAAGGACTGGACTGCTGCTGAGTGGTCCAAAGTCATGTTCTCTGATGAAAGTAAATTTTGCATTACCTTTGGAAATCAGGGTCCCAGAGTCTGGAGGAAGAGAGGAGAGGCACAGAATCCACGTTGCTTGAGGTCCAGTGTAAAGTTTCCACAGTCAGTGATGGTTTGGGGTGCCATGTCATCTGCTGGTGTTGGGCCACTGTGTTTTCTGAGGTCCAAGGTCAATGCAGCCGTATACCAGGAAGTTTTAGAGCACTTCATGCTTCCTGCTGCTGACCAACTTTATGGAGATGCAGATTTCATTTTCCAACAGGACTTGGCACCTGCACACAGTGCCAAAGCTACCAGTACCTGGCTTAAGGACCATGGTATCCCTGTTCTTAAGTGGCCAGCAAACTCGCCTGACCTTAACCCCATAGAAAATCTATGGGGTATTGTGAAGAGGAAGATGCGATATGCCAGACCCAACAATGCAGAAGAGCTGAAGGCCACTATCAGAGCAACCTGGGCTCTCATAACACCTGAGCAGTGCCACAGACTGATCGACTCCATGCCACGCCGCATTGCTGCAGTAATTCAGGCAAAAGGAGCCCCAACTAAGTATTGAGTGCTGTACATGCTCATACTTTTTATGTTCATACTTTTCAGTTGGCCAAGATTTCTAAAAATCCTTTCTTTGTATTGGTATTTAGTAATATTCTAATTTTCTGAGATACCGAATTTGGGGTTTTCATTGGTTGTCAGTTATAATCATCACAATTAAAAGAAATAAACATTTGAAATATATCAGTCTGTGTGTAATGAATGAATATAATATACAAGTTTCACTTTTTTAATGGAATTAATGAAATAAATCAACTTTTTGATGATATTCTAATTATATGACCAGCACCTGTATACTTAAATATAGAGTATATACTTACCATATTTTTACCTAAGTACCATTCTCAATGCAGGACTTGTAATGTAGTCATTTTACAGTGTGGTATTATTGTTTCTTCTTAAGTAAAGAATTAAACATTTTCTCCACCACTGCTTACCAGTATACTTAGGATTTACATGGAATGCCTAAAGCTGCAACAGCTGAGACAGCTTATCCGAAAGCAAACTCTCTGTGTACTAATACAGACACTTTGTGTTTTATGTACATAAACAATCAGGGTAAACGGTGCCAGAAATCTCGGGGGTAGTGGGCTGTTGGCTGTGTCTGGCACTAGTTCTACCCGAAGCCTCAGAGGAGGAGGGAACAAAATGCAGCTGTCTACCCACAGCAACAAACCCTTCTGCCAAGTGCACAGGATCACAATCTGAATTTTACCCTGTATTTTACAGTCCAGCAACATACCCTGTCACTTATTCTATTCCTTCTTTGCAGCAAATTTTATTTTTGAACACGTTTGTGGGTTGCTTTGATGCGTGGCTCAGATTACAAAAACACTGCACCTTTAGATAATGTTTCATCTTACTGTGTTTCTGGTTTACCAAAAACAAACAAACAAACAAAAAGCCTAAAAGGTGAATCCTGAGCTTTGAACTTGAAGTTACTGTTTATTACAGAGACGTGTCTCATCTTCCCTACATTCACTTTGTTACACAAACCGAATTATTTCCGATTTATTTTTTACATACTGTAGATTTGTAAAGACAGGCATGTGTTTTCCGTATCGTTACTTTAACTGTGATATTTGCTACAAATTAAAAAGTGCATGCATGCGCATACACCCACCTAACCACCCCCACACACATTCCTCTGCATTGTCTTCTTTTGTTGCAGTGCTGGACTCTCTGCACTGCCTTCTTGTTCTAAAAGGTAGTCGCAACACCAACAAACAGCCAAGCAGCTTGCTGTTTTTCTCTGCTTGTCTCTTTTTTATTTTGTCTTAATGAAATGGGATATGGATAATGCTCATTTTTCCCTTTTCCACCACCTGGTACCAACTCGACTCATCTTATTTGTGTTTCCATCAGTCAAATGTTGGGGATAGTACCTGGTACCTGGTAACCGAGCAGAGGTGATACCAAGCAGTGATGTGTAAACACTGCAGACTAACGATTGGTCAGAGAAATCGCGTCATCAACATGTGAGATGTCCTGAAATACAGAAAGCACCATTTTTTAAAGCCACGTTACTTAACGTGCACCGCTACTTTACTGTAGTTACTGTACTAACTAAAAACAGCCACATACCGAGAATCAGGAACAGTACACCTTCGATGTTCTCCATTGTTATTGTGTCAGTTGCTGACGATGTCATGGCAGTGTAATGCGGTGTTGCTATGACAACCAGCTATACTGAGAAGAAACATCTGCAGTGGAAAACCAAGCACCCAGTGCCAAAAGCATAAGTCGGATCAAGTCAAGTTGAGCCGGTACCAGGCAATGGAAAAGTAATCTGAAACAGAGTGGAGGGAGTCCCACGGGTCTGTCCATAAGAGAAGAGCACTGAGCCACACAGTGTTCTGCCTTCCATAACGCTGGGAATAAATAAAACCCTGCATGGGCAATATGTCAAGAACATGTCATATAAAAAAATCGAATAATACTTCTTGAGCATCTTGTGATGCAGAACACAAATCCCTGCATGGAAAATAAAAATGGTTTGTATTCAGTTTGTAATTGATGACCTGGTTTTTCAAAATGACAATGACTACATAATTAAAAGTATCCTTTCCAAATGAGGTGTCATCAAATGTTTTAAAGTTTTCATAAATAAAGATGCTTCTTATTAATGGCAGTGCCACAGGTCAAGCAGCTAAATCAACTTTTGAACAAAAAATATTTTGGTTTTGCTGATCAGGACCTGCAGGCTGTTGAATAAGACTGCATTAAGATGATAATTACTTCATGTTCATTTGTCTGTTTGTCACATCCCTTTTTAAGTTGCAGA